GTATGTGTTTCCATTTGTGCCGGTAGGCTTACACTTTCTCTTTGCGGGTTATCCTCAGGCGAGAGCGAATCCAAACTTTCACCGTCCGTGTCTACTGCACGTCCGGTAGGCATGCTCTGGACTGGAGCTAAATCGCACCATACTTCTACAACCGTTTACAGAACGTTTGTGCGTTATACCGGTACTTCCGTAAATGGAGCATGTGATGTCACTCTCTTACTCACGCTCCGTGCAGCTCCGAGGAAAGAAAAGGGGGTAAAAAAAAAAATCCTCTCCGTGTCTCCTTTCCAGCCGATGTCCGCAGATCGCTAGCCCGCCTGGCTGTAGCCAGTTATGAACACGCGAACCTGAATGACGTTAACGTCAGTGAAGGTAAGTCCTGTCGCTCACTTATCGTCCTCTGTTCCGTCGCGAGGCTTCCGGAGTTAAAATCTTATCATGATAAGATTACACAAACCCTTCTTAACTTCTGACACCATGTGTTAATGCTGCGAATGAAGTCAGGCAGAGACCGGCATATCCAGCGAGTCGTTTATTATGTACTTCCTGTCCTACCCTTAAACATGTCCCCAGTACAGCCGGCCCTCAAGGGTTGCTGATTGGAGACAATCCTTCAGTACACAGTTTATACGCTCTACTGCCCCGTTTGCTTGCGCGTAGAACACTGAGGTTCTGGAGTGTTGAATGTTTCGCATTCGTAAGAACTCAGCAAACTCTGAAGAAGTGAACTGTGGCCCATTATCACTAACAATCTCACAAGGGTTACCATGTCGGTTGAACACGCCTGTAAGAAACTGACGCAGTGGTGATGGTCCTTATGAATGCTACCTCTGGCCACTTGCTATAATGGTCCATCAGAGTAACAGCATATTTACAATCCCAAGGCGCGTTCTCAAAAGGGCCGACAGTGTCAATTGCCACCTTCTCCCAGGGAGCACTAGGCAGTGGCACTGGCAAAATTTGCAAGAAGTGATTATTTCAGTGGCGTATTTGTCCATTCCTGGCCAGCAGTACAGTTCCCTCAGACGTTACTTGGTCCTGACTCCTGACTACACCCTGGTGGCTGTTGTGTGCCAGTGCTACCAGAGCACTGCGCAGTGAGATGGGCACAAGGAGGTGGTTCCCCTCTGTGAATCATCTGGTCCTGCACTGACAGTTCATTTCAGATGTGAAAATATGGTCCTAAATCCTGTGGGACAGTTTTACCTGATTGCAGCCTCCCTTTAGCAATCTGGGTATGTAATGCCGACAGTTCGGGGCAAGCAGCGCATTCAGAGTCAAATTCATCCACCGACAGTGCAGGGAGCTCGGTAGACAGCAGTGCCACCAACTAATTGTTATGGAATCAGTGCTGCCCCCCAAAGGCAGTGGTAAGCGTGACAGACAATCAGCAGCTGCATTGTCAGCTCCTGGACTGTATGCTACTGTGTAGTTAAAGCAAAGGAGATGTGCTGACCATCTAGCAATACGCATCCCTGCACATCCCATGCCTTTAGTAACAGCAATACGCATCCCTGCACATCCCATGCCTTTAGTAGCAGCAATACGCATCCCTGCATGTCCCATGCCTTTAGTAGCAGCAATACACATCCCTGCATGTCCCATGCCTTTAGTAACAGCAATACGCATCCCTGCACGTCCCCATGCCTTTAGTAGCAGCAATACACATCCCTGCATGTCCCATGCCTTTTGCAGCAAGTAGAGTGGTTAGGGCTTGGTGATCAGTGTGGAGAGTAAGCGATTCACTCTGCACATAGCAGCGCATTAGAGAAAAGGGGGGGTCACTCCCACTGCCTACCAGTTTCACAGAAATACAAGGACACGCTACCCGCGACAGACTGCTGCAGAGGGGTGCAAAGCGTTTATTGGAGGATAGCGTCAGACACACCTCCTCTCATTCTATGATCCAACTTTCATTTTCCCAGAGTTTCTTTCAGAGCTACACAACACCAGAATAACGTCCAACACCGCTCTCAGAATGTCCAAGTCCTTTGCAGACACAGCCGGCCTCAGAGGGTAGTAGAATTCTTTATCCACAATGTTTCCAGGTTCCGGACTGCCGGGGACATCGCTCACCTTCCGACAGTACCGGGCCAGCAGCAGACCCAGCATACAGTCACACTCAGTCAGGTAACCAGCCCGCTCAGCACCGCCAGCCACGTACCGGGTCACGCTGCACGCTCACTTCGTCTGTTTGTTTAGTGTATGCCTTGCATTTCACTGTGGCACGTTGTTCTGGCAACTGGATAGCATGAGCGAATGTTGTTGGATAGGTTTGCCTGAACTTGTGAGGAACCCTCTCTGCTTCCATAATCTTCCATGGTCATGACAGACTCCAAATGCATATCTTCAGTCTGTAAAAAATAGTCACTTTCCGATCTTTCATTTGGCTACAGGCCTGGGTCAGTGCAAACAACTCAGCTGCTTGTGCAGACCATGTTTTTGGCAACTTTCCCCCTTCTATCAGGTCACCATTTGATCTCACAACCGCATAAGAGGTGGAGGGCTCTCCATTCTTCAGCCGGAGGGGGGAACCAATCAGCAAACACTGTCTCCCCCTCCATCAGGGGATCCTCCTCTAAATCCTCTCTGGGTTTTGCCAGTGCTTGAGTCACTTCAATGCAGTCATGGTCATCTCCTTCCATCTCTATAGGAAGGAGTGTGGCTGGATTTATGCAAAATAACCCTAATTGCATTTCAGGGCTTTGTGCCAGCATTTTATTTCACGGGATGGAGCAGCGCGCAAACTTTACTTATTAGTGTTAATTCAGGACGGGGAAGAGAAGCAGCCGAGTTATCACCTGTAGGAATTATTAGCTCAGGTAAATTTTAATATATCCACCAATATGTTTTGAAATTAATTACATTTTAATTAATTAGTATTTAATGACGATTATTGCCTAATCGTTATGCCGAATGGTTGGTTCCTCCAGTCTCAATTGCGGTATCCCCGTGAGTCTGTTAATGTGAGACTTAAATGGTATTCACTAATCACCAGTATCGCTTAGTAACCTGGGTTAGAAGGCTCGTCCAGCGAGCTGCATCACCAGGTAATGTAAACACCAAGATTGTCTAAGGACACATACAAACATAACCTTTCTGTATATTGAGACTAATAGTCATGAGTAAATCAATATACAGGCTATACAAAAGCCAAACTTAAATGAAACTTTCTTTAGGGTGTTGGTCTGTTGGGTGAGTGGTATGTAAGGCAGGATGTCTGGGGAGGGGGTTGCGTGCCAAGTCGAGGGACCCCTGTCCGTGAGGTCCACTCTGCTGTCTGTAGGTCACTAAATCTTTGGGCAATAAAGGTTGGAGTGCTGGCCTCCCTTGTTATCTGTGTGTGTGTAAGTGTGTTTGTGTGTGTGGGGTCACTAACCCCTCTTTGGTGCCTAGGCCAATGTGTACCTCTCATACCAGGCTAGGCCTTGTCTCAGGCCACCTGGAATTTAAGCTCTGTGTTATGTGCATGTGTGATCCTACACACCTCTGAAACAGGTAGCCTAGTGCATCCCAAATTTTTCAACATTAACATTTTAATATAACATCATAGTCATTATGGCCTTCAGAAAAATGTTTTTTGGGGAGGTGGGGTAGTGCACTATAGCCCCTGTGGTGGGCCTAAGCTTTTGTCCTTAATGGCATTTTTCCCCTTACATTACTTTTTATACTTTAAGTAGTTTTACATCCAGTACTTTTATACTTTTACTCAAGTAAAAAGCTTGAGTTGATACTTCAACTTCTACAGAAGTCTTTTTAAACCCTAGTATCTATACTTCTACCTTAGTAATGAATGTGAATACTTTTGACACCTCTGGTATCGGCAATGCTTGTGTGACGTCCACAAAAAGTGCCACATTTGTAATTTATGAAAATACTGTATGATTTTATTATTGTCTTTTCTTTGTATTATATGTGTACATATGTTTACTCCAGAGAGCATGAGATATTCATGCATCCTGAAGGTTTCATCTTAGCCTAAATGTGTGGTTCTCGCTCCACTGGGGGGCACTGCCGCGTAGCGATTCTCTACGTCGTCCTTATGAACTTTCTCATAACGGCAGAGAACGCCAAAGCTTCGACGAGCTGTTGTCCTGCCTGCTCATTATTCTTCTGTTTTTCAGGTTGGTAATTTGTAAGATACCAAAAACAAACAAATAAAACCACATAGAGATGTCCGCTAACTATGCCAGCCAAGTAGGTTGAGTAAAACGGAATTTTGTTGTTGCACAAGTTTTAGTTAACAATACGAGAAAGCTAAGTTTGATGAGCGATGTTAACGAGCAACAATGATTTAGTTAATGTGGCACACGCGTTTCCCCCTTCGTGAATGTCAGCGAATATTATATAATAGTAATATATAATATATCATTAGTATATATAATAATAAGTATAATTATATAATAGTAAAATCGTTTGTTTTCCGGTTAGCTTAGCTTACTGTTATCCACCATGCTAGGCTAAGGTTAAGAGTTTTTGCACTTAAATACGCCCACCTTACTTCCATAAAGATATTAAAGTTAAACCTGGGTGAAAACGGTTGTAATGAGTTTAGTATTTTGTGCAGCTACGTGTTTAACTAGTACTGGTAAATCTGCGGTGAATGAGTTTTACCAATGGAATAAGCAGTTAATGTATACTGGGAAAAGAACTAAATGTATTCGGAACAAGAAGAAGGCGTATTTGTATTTTGTCTGTGAATATGTATTTGATGCAGACACTTATTTTATGGATTTTATTTAAAATGTTAAATGTAAAAAGACATTGAACTTTAAGTAAACACTTATTAGAACATAGAAAATGGTTCTGAAGGGAAAAATGCACCTGTCTGAGGAAATGTTTAAATAAATATAACTGCAGAGAACGCCAAAGCATCGACACGCTGTTGTCCTGCCTCCTCATTATTCTCCTGTTTTTCAGGAACTCATCTGCTAACTCAGGTGTCGCTGGGCGGTACCCGTTACACTTGCCCTTTATTTACGTGGTATCGGATCAGTACGAAATCTTGTAGTATCGCACACCACTACCATATAGGGGTCCCTTGGTATCAATGCAAAATCACCCAAAATTGCATTATAAGGCTTTGCACCAGCATTTTATTTCATGGGATGGAGTGAGCACCGCGCGAACTTTACTTATTTGTGTTAATTCAGGATGGGAGAAGCAGCAGAGTTACCACCTCTTCATTTTGAAGTTTTTCCAGCATTTGGTAAGTACTTTACACTTTTTAAACCATGCATTATGTAAGGTTTAAAAGTAACTGTATTTTATAATGCATATTGCTGTTTAACTATACGTTTAGACAAACTTAATCTGTCTTGTTAAAACAGTCGGTAGTTGCACGTGCCGGTTTGAAATGAATGCTGCTTTTACAATATATATCGCTGTTTAATTCCATGTTTAGGCCACTTAAAATTAATAAATTGTTTTACATGACTCAAACTTCTAAAATATTGGTGAGTAGGGGATTTTATATTTTTAGCGAAAAGACGAACGGAAACAGAGATATACTAAAACTAGAAAATTAAACTTTAATTTGTCAGTATCTCAACATTTTAAACTCTCAACAGTTCAAACAATTNCAAACAATTACAAGAAAAGAGAAACCTTCAAAACAAATGCCTAGTCTAAGTGTTTAATGGTCTTGCCACAGAATGGCCCAATAAAAGCGTCCTCCTGACAATAGCAAAACAACAGCACTTCCATTGTTTCAAACAATAGAAGTGCTGCTGTTTGACCTCAATGAGGGTCACTATTATTGGACCGTCAAATTGAAAAATCCGAGGCTGACATTCAAGATTTTTCACCCACGGCGGCCATTTTGAGAGAAACACAAGGATTTCAAACGACCACCGTTAGTTGTTAAACTAACGGTAGTTGGCGCGCGTGCGTATTGACGATCTCTGACAGTTTTTGAGGTGAAAAAACGGATTTTTTGAAAAATATAAAATATAAAAAAAATTGAGGCGGGCGGCCATGTAAAACAATTTATTAATTTTAAGAGGCCTTAGACAAACTTAAATCAACAATCTGCACCGTTACAACAGTCGATTGTGCAGGTGTCGCTTTGAAGTGAATGCATACAGTAGTTGCCTACCAGTCACGTCAACCCCTGTCTATACGTGTGTAACCGGGCGGAAAAGCAGTCTTTATTTTGGGTGTTAGCACTGGTTTGAAGTGGGGGGGAAAAGGACTTTGTTTTCTCTTTGGAAAGGTACACTCTCCCTTTAAGGTGCTAGCCTTGTCCACGTTGGGAACCGCCCGGAGGCTATGTTCGTTTTTTTTGGTATTCCTGTGCCCTCCCGCCTTTTCGAGAAAACATGGCCGCGAAGCATATGGAGAGCGAGGCCGGGGTGATCCTCGCAGAGTAAATGTAAGTTTCCCTCTTGATATTGAGATGTAATGGTAAAAATAATATAGTATCAAGTATGTGTCTTGAAGGGGACTAGTGACAGTCTGGTAGGTAATACTGTTTGGATGATTTTCGATTTAAGTGTAAAACAATTGGATTGTACGTCCGTTTAGCATCTGTGTGTCAGTAAAGCGGAATGCAGTGTAAATGTGTTTTTTTTTTAATTAATTCACATTAATGCATTGGTTTTTTTCATTGCATGTTTGGAATCCATGAACGGGTGTCTGAATAGCCTGGGGCTTTCATGTAAGCCGTTTGGAGGGGTGCAAACCATATAGGGAGAGACGCGAGATACTGAGATGTAAGTTAAAAGGGCGCTATTGTTCATTTCTGTATTAAATGTGTATATCTTAGTATTCAAGATGAACGGTTGTATGTACTTTTGTATTTCCTTGTGCAGTTCTATTTCACTGCCGTATTCTATATTCTGTTAAAAAAATACAGAGTTCGATTTATTTTATTACTAGTATTTGTTGCTGGGGAAAGTTGATCTGTACCCGTGTATCGCGTATCACTTTACCGCACAGTAAAATTTGTGAAGGAAGGAACAGGAAAACTCCGCTCAGCTGCCCTTCCATTTTCTTTGGGCGGCCAGCAAATAAAGAACCCCAAATCATTTGTGTTTGTCTGTGTGATATAAATTGCACTGGCTACACGTGTATTACCACTAGGTGCGCCAGTTCTTCCACCAATGGGTGTATCATCTCATTTAACCTGTAATTGAAATTAAATAGTTGAATAATTAAATACTGTAGCACTCGATGGATAAAGCAATGAAATAAACTCTGAACCATACGTAATCAAATGTGCCTCTTTCTAGATAGTAAATAATTTACTATTATGACCCGCAAGCCCCACGCCTGCCCCCTGTGCAAGGTGACTTATATAAACATTTCAGTCCACCTCCATGACGTGCACAAGGTGGACAGCCACACAGACAGGAGGCTGCTAAACTCCCTGTCGTCGGGCAGATTTGCTGGGCTGATAGATTGCCCCGTGCCCCTCTGCCCGGCGATAAACCTCAGTCAAATTGACTGCCACCTGAGGCTGCGGCACTCGCTCCACAGCGATGTGCTGAAGCAGCTGGTATTCCATTTAATTGTATTTGTACAGGATATTTCCAAAAGAGTTCATTGTCTTACATGATTATCTCCTGCCCAAAACCCAGATCGCAGTCGGCAAGAAGCAGGCGGCACGGCAGTCGTTGCGCTCGCAGGGAGAAAACCGATGAAATGGTGCAGCTTTAACAGCGGCTCAGACGGCTGGAGCAGGAGGTGGCAGAGCACAGACAAAGTTCCTCTGCGCCACAGGGATCGGGATCCGGATCGCACAAGCAGCAGTTCTCTGGTAATAATTACAATTGCAATGTCATGATAAAATTTATAAGACTCAAACATTATGGACCTTAAACATCTGTTCCTGGATTTCTAGTCATTACGGCATTTTAACATAAAAGTTATGGATTTCTAATCATTACGGCTTTTAAACATAAAAGTTGAAGACTACTAGTTATTATGGCTTTTAAACATACAATATCAGGATTTCTAGTCATTACGGCATTTTAAACGTGGATGTCTTGGATTTTGTTTCAGACAGTTAAACATTATAGATTTTAAACATCATGTCAACGTTCACGCAAAATGTCGTGTTTCACGCGCGCACACAGGTGTAGACCCAATCATATTTAATAACTCATCGTCTTGCCTTCACAGGTAAAGGACCATAAAACAGCAGGCTCTTTTGGGAGGGTAAACATGACCCTATCCAAAAAAGAATACTAGTGGCTCCACCAGTTCGCTCGGCTCCGCTGTGAGCTCCCTGGCTTCAGGTCCTTGGCTAAGACATTCTTTTTCACGTCTTCAGGACAGCTGTTTCGGAAAGTGAACGACATGGTGATGGAAACATGCCTGAATTGTGGCATGCCCAAGGCATTCACCGTGTCACAGTTGAGGAGCGGCGTGTTGACGTGTGTAAGTAAAAATCAGATACAATCCTAAAGTCGGCGGCTTTAGAAATTGTCTCGACCGTGATCAATCTCTCATTCTTGCTTACAGATGGAGAGGGGCCTGCCAGAGGACCGGCGGCGGCTGGTGTCGCACATGATGTGTCACAGCGTGGAGACTGCCGACCGCTTTTATGTCGCGGAACCTGAGCTCGCCGAGCTGCACGTCGGCTGAGAATGCCTCCGTCAGGCCCTGGGCCTCAGCAAGGTTCCACAGCATTCTGGAGGTAGGCAGTCTCAGAGCGAAAAGGGCGGCGTGACCACCACCACCAGACAGCGATGATCAACCCCTGTACTCCTCTCCTCAGAGGAAGAGGAGGAGGTGCATGTGTGCATGTGCAGGTGCATGTGCATTTCCTCTCATATCGCCAACGTTTCCCGCTCTTGTCGGTTTCTCCTGTTTAATATCAGAAGGATACGTCCATTTCTTTCCACACAGGCTACCCAGATACTCGTTCAGTCCCTCGTCATCTCCCGCCTTGACTACTGCAACTCGCTCCTAGCGGGTTTACCACTGAGCGTCATTCGTCCCCTCCAACTGATTCAGAATGCAGCTGCTCGACTTGTTTTCAACCTTCCCAAGTTCTCCCACACCACTCCTTTGCTGCGCTCCCTACACTGGCTTCCTGTGGCTGCCCGCATCAGATTCAAAACACTGATGCTCGCATACAAAGCCAAAAATGATCTGGCTCCATCCTACCTAAAAGACCTCATCACACCCCGCACTGCACCACGATCTCTCCGATCCTCCAGCACTGCTCGACTGGTCCCACCACCCCTCAAGGCACAAGGAAGACACACCTCCCGGCTCTTCTCTGTTCTGGCACCAAGTTGGTGGAATGAACTCCCCCTAGATGTCCGAACAGCTGAGTCACTGAATGTCTTCAAAAGACGACTTAAAACACACCTTTTCCAGAAATGCCTGAATTAGCACTTCTGGCATTATACTTGCATTACTTTTAAAAAAAAAAAAAAAAAAAAAAGCACTTTTCCAACAGAGTATTAGATCGATGGTATTCATAGCCTTGGTTTTTTATTGAGCTAGTATCGGGAAAAATTCATTGTGGAGTCTTAAAGCACTTATGTAAGTCGCTCTGGCTAAGGGCGTCTGCCAAATGATGTAAATGTAAAATGTAAATGGCGCCGCATGTAGTCAGGGTGAGTCCAGCGGGGTGCAGGTGTTACCCCTAACATGTGACATAGAAGGTGGAAACATCCTGTGGAGGAAAAGACAAGTCAATCACTTCAGCAAGGGTACAGTGATGGTGAGGCTAAAATAACATATTTATTTTCCAACAGGTGACACTGCTCAGACGGTGGGAGCCCTGGGGGCACATGGCGCACAGCCGCTGTATTAGGTGGTGGTCCTCGACCAGCTGCAGGAGGAGCATCTGCTGCAGCAGTTGGAGCAGTTGAGGCTGCTGCAGCTGGAGGATGAGCTGCAGCTGGAGGATGAGCTGCAGCTGGAGGATGAGCTGCAGCTGGAGGATGAGCTGCAGCTGGAGGATGAGCTGGAGCAGCGGCAGCTAGAGTCGTTGGAGTCAGTCTGAAGTAAGTTTCACCACTTAATTATTTTGGTAATTGAGGCATTGATAATTTGTGTGAACAGAAATTTATATACATGTCTGAAACTGAAATCTCTCTTTTTCTGACAGTTCCCCAGTTTTCTGCCAAAAGTAGTGCCATATGCTTGGGTAATGCCAAGGAATCCGATTTTATCTTTTTAAATATGTAATTTATGTCTCTGTGGTAATGGGCAGTGATCAAAAAAATGTCATTTTTTTTAAATATCACAGAAGGCACTCGTCCGACGCAAGCTGACATATCCTGACACCTTAAAGGATATGGTTTGCTTCGAGTTCAGGGATCATTGGCAGGAATGACCAATAAGAACATATATGATTAGTATGCTGTTAGTATGCAGTCAGTTACTGCCACCGATGTATTAGAGACATGAATATAAAATATAAAAAACAGAATACTGTCTTTTTGAGATCAGCAGAGTCTTGGCCCAGTCTCCCATTCTCCCCCAGCACTGCAAAGACCTCCGATTGACAATCGACAATGTCCAAGGCTTATTAAAGCAAATGCAACAGTATACATTTAAGATGGTAGTGGTTACTACTACTACTACCTCTTTACTATTGTGTTTGCTGTTGCTGATATATGCTTGTTTTCTGCTTGTCTACATTTCAGACCATGAATCGTTCCTCAAGAAACAGCAGGAGGATATCAGTCCTTTTGAAAGCCCATCATTTTTTCCCCCCCCATTTTGTATTTATTTTGTCTCCTTTAAGTATTTATATAATATATATATTTTATATATGGATATTTTTCTTTTTCATTTCACAGCTGCTGTGTTTTTATTTGTGGTACCGTAAAAGTCACTTTGAGGTTTTAAGTTACAAAGGAAAAAATGTAAGTGACAAAGTATAGCTGGTGAAATTGGATGGTGATGGCAATTGTCAAAATTATGGGTGTATGTCTTGATATTCCAGACGACGAAGAAGGTATCCACACATCCTAGCCCGTCAATTTTGGTCTATTTGAAAAAAATATTCCTAATAGTGTACAGCAGACATGTAAGTGATTATTTTTATCAGCTATACTTCAATGGTGATGGTGATTGTCAAAATTATGGGTGTATGTCTTGATATTTCAGCTGATGATGATGTCCCCACATCAGTAAACACTGAAAACAATTTGCTTGCAGCAGTACTAATCTTGCACTCTTGTGGTTCTCCTCACTGATCATTACTGCAGCAGTGAGAAGGGGACGGTGTCCTCTTGTAATTTTTTTGTATACTTTTTTTTATTTCTGAAGACTTTTATTTAGTTAAATTAAAAAAAACTTTTTTACAAATTGCCTAGAAAAGATGCAAACAAAAAAAATGTGGCAAAAATAAAATGTTTTGTGCACAATCACTGTCAAAGTTCTTCATATTATCTCCTGTATGAGCTACTGTCCATGGGTCATAGTAAGTATGCAAACCGTACAGGCTAGGGGTGTGAAATTTGGCATGCTCAAACTACATGTATATATGAACAACTGTGCAATGTCTCATGAGCCTAAACCTTACAGAACAGGTTTGGTGGACCTGTGACTTTAAGTCTTTAATGCACATGAAGGGGAAAGGGGGCAAGGTAACAGGGGGTCTCGTGGCTGACCCCTGCAGGCACCGTGAAGTAGCTCCCATGAAGGCTTCACAACCAAACTCCTGCTATAACTCTTGTAAAGTACTCTTACCATTTGTAACAGTATTTTGTAATTCACTGATTAACAATGTGTGTCGTTGTTTAACCCCATGTTTTAATTAAAAAACATTGCTGGCACCAGCTCACCTGCTGCATCTGTGGTTGACATAACAATTGACGGGGAGGGGGAGGAAGTAAGATTCTCCGTTAATTTAGTTTGAGAATTGAAGCATGATGATGATGATTTTTGTGTGCACACAAATGCATATACATGTGTCAAGACGTGTTTTTAGTTTGTCACAGATGCCTAGTCCTCTTCCCAAAGTCGTACCTCATTCTAAGGTAATGCTGATGCATTTTATTTAACTTGTAAAATTTCCCAGACATATTTCAAATCTCTGTGGTAAAGTTTTGTGGCGAAATTAATGTGACATTCTTTCACATATGTCAGAAATTGCTGCTGCCTCGGAAAATGACATACCCAACATCCTTGAAGGGCATGATGAGAGCACAGTTTAAGCCATATTTCACATGTCCAATAAAGACCGAAGTCGTTAGCATGCCGTCGAACGATGCTAGTATATCTTGGAAGTTAGAAACACGGTAATGGTGCGTGGGTGGGCTCTTATTGTTCTAAGAAATGTTTGTTTACACGGCACAAGGGAAGCTTTTCAAAAGTGGCATCAGAAAGGCAGTTTCTCTTTGGTGTGAAAATATCCTTTCCTACGCTAAACAGTCTTTCACAGGCTGCACTTGCTGGGACCCCTGTGTTGTATCTATACTTTTTAATAACTAAGGTGGATGCATTATCAAATTGCTAAAGCTGGATTCAAAGAAACCAATGGTACCTTTATGACAGGGAATAAGCTTTTGCCAGTATCTGCTTCTGGAATTAAATACATTAATACCAAAGAAAAAGATACATAAGCAGACCAACAGCAACACGGTCTGGATGTCGCCGCACCAGTATCTGCATCTGAGAAGAAAGGATGGAGGCCACACTCACACAGACAAGAAGGGGAGAGAGGGATAAAATAGGGCAAGAAAGCCCTGGGCTATCTTGTATGTGCATGTGTGTCGTTAAAATATGGGGGAGCATATGGAGAAAAGACACCCCAGCCAGAGCTGTGGTCCTCCCCCACCGGCCCCCCCAAGCCCTCAGTGTTTCAAGTGGAGTTAAAATAGAGGGGAAGGGAGCTGCGCAGTCCAGCTGTGGGCAGCCGACCCAGGACCTGCACAGCTCCCCCCGCCCTCCAAGGGCCTATGTGAAGGAGTGGTGTGACATGGATGTGCCCCTGTTCCTGTTGACCCCCCACCTGTCTGTCCTGTTTTTGGGTGTGACAGGACCGCTGTCCCTGTGGTTCCTGGCTTTTCCTTTATCCGCTCCATGTCCTTAGTGGTGTCCTGCAACTGGTCTTATGTTTGGTGTTGCTGTCTGGTCTTGTCTGGTCCTGTCCTGTCCACCATCTGTTCTGTCGTCCCCTGTCTAGTCCAGTGTCCAGTCTGGTTCCATCCCTGACCATCCATGCTCTCTGCCTTCCCACATTCCCAGGTGCTGCCTGGGATGGGCACCATCTCAGCTGGAGTCCTGGTTCAGTCCCATGGAGAGGTGACACTGCCAATGGGACTAACTGTGTCATCCTTGGTGCAGCCTTCAGTGCCACCTTACACAGGCCAGCGTGGAGAACAGACTTATTGACAGACTTTGTCTTGATGCTTAATCACACCTTACACCTGGCCTTTAGCAGGCAAGTCCACCCTTTTCTGTTCTCAGTGATGTTAGTCTGCCTGGGGGGTGGGGGGACCCCCAGAGGTCTTTTTTTCTCCTTGGGATTTTTTGGTTCCTTTCCTCCGCTGTCATCTGTCTTTCTTTATTATCTTTCTATCCTTTTCCCCTTGTGTATTACTCTCTTTAATGATGTTGTAATGTATCACAACACATCTATGTAAAGTGTCTTGGGACGAATCTGTTAGGTGCTATATAAAAAAAAATGAAATGTCCCGCCTCCTCCCTGGCTTGGCTCTAACAAGCCATGTTTGGTGCTTGTTGGTCTCACATCTCGTTCCAGCCCTCATGTTAAACACTCCCAGCTGCCTCCAGTCTGTTCCATCATTAGTCCTGTATTTAAGTGCTTCCTGGTTCCCCAGTTCGATCATTGATGTTGTGCCCTATGTGTTGCCTGTTCCCTGGCCTCCCATCCTGATCCCAGTAAGTCCCTGTTTGTTGCCTGGGCAGCACCTTGAGAGCGGCATGTTTGCAGTGTCATGTTTGTCTCACTTGTTCACCACTTTCAGCAACAGTATCTGCTAAATATTAGAAATGTAATCATATGGAAGTGAGTATGTCTGCTTTGAAGGAACAGAGATCACACCTGTTTAGGTAAAGGGCACAGAAACAGGTAAATCCTGTAAGGTAACATTCTTAAAGTCAGCATAAATTCCAACACAATTCTGGAATATAAAGTTCAGTCAGTAATGATTTAGCATTAAAATGTAACTTTTAAATAGATCCTAACAGTATGTGTGATTGTGGGGGGTGGGGGGGCTCAGGGTGTAACCTGTGGGGGGGGGGGTCTCAGGGTGTAACCTCTGGCTCTGGGCTTGTTTCCTGTCCCTTCTGCTGTATGTGTGAAGTTTGCATGTTCTTCCAATGTGGACTTTCTCCTCCTACTTTGGAAAACATGAAACTGCGATCAGCTGATTGGGGTCTCTAAGCTGCCCTTAGTGTGAGTCTGGATGTGTGAGTTTGTGATCTGCTATAAACTAGTATCCTATCCATTGTGTCCCCTGCCCTGTGCCCCCTGGGACAGGCTCCAGGACGGCTCCACACTGTTCCTGAGGATGGCTGAAGCTGGTCCATTAACTTTTGGCTTAAATGTAAGACTTTATCTTAATAGTGTTCAATGAATTTCTAGGATAAATTTCCATTATTATATTCCAGAAAAATTTTGTGTGCGAAAAATTATCACTCTGAACCTGGTCACCTGACTCTCCTTCCTAACACAAATACACTCCCAGCACAAACACACTGAGAGAATTAAATATGGCATTTATGTGCTACACCCTTTATTTTCATGAATATTATTTATATTGAACAATGTAAAAATAAAGCTGTGGATTGACAGTATTTGTCAAAGGTTGTTCTGTCTAATCCTGACACAGTCTGTCTATAATTGCACATACCTGCAGGTTTCACCTGAAACCACATGATCACAAACATGTTTCTAAACAGACACAGAAATTCATTCTCAGTATAACTGCCCTTAAAACTTTCTACCTAATTTCTATCTACTGTACAAAATCAGAGTAGGATTATAGCTTTTTACAGAAAAACAAGGTCAGTAACAGTTATTCTCATGAAAGCTATATAAATATCTGTTGTGTGTATAGTTTGCATACTGTACTGTTTTAGTTATAAACTCCCGCTCCAGTGTTTGCTCAGTCTGCTCTTCTCAGTCTGGCCTCAGTCCAAAACCACACCTACTGCAGCCTGAGAAGCAGGAAGTTCCTCCCACTTTCACACACAGACGACTGTGAGAGAAAACGAAACTGAATCCTATCAGTGTTCGTGGTAAAATGGCAGAAGCCAGTTCCGCACTGGATCAGAACCAGTTCAGCTGCCCAGTCTGTCTGGATCTACTGAAGGATCCAGTGACTATCAACTGTGGACACAGTTACTGTATGAGCTGCATTAAGAGCTGCTGGGATCGGGAGGATCATGCTGGAGTTTACAGCTGCCCCCAGTGCAGACAGACCTTCACACCCAGACCTGTTCTGGGCAGAAACACCATATTGGCTGAAGTGGTGGAGAAACTGAAGGAGACTGGAATACAAGCAGCTACTCCTGCTGACCATTATGCTAGACCTGGAGATGTGGAGTGTGACATCTGTACTGGGAGAAAACACAAAGCTGTCAAGTCCTGCCTGGTGTGTCTGGCCTCCTACTGTGAAACTGACCTGCAGCTTCACAATAAACTCCATCATGCAAAACAACACAAGCTCATTGATGCCACCAGTCATCTGAAGGACAAGGTCTGTTCCCGCCACGACAAACCCCTGGAGGTCTACTGCCGTACCGACCAGCAGTGCATCTGTCTGCTGTGTGTGATGGATGAACACAGAGGCCATGATACAGTCTCAGCTGCTACAGGAAGGGCGGAGATACAGGTCAGGCGCAAGTGCTCTTAAATAAATATAAAGTTAATTTTAAATGACTGGATTTTGTCTTGTGCAGAGGTGCAGTGGTTAGCACTGCTGCCTCACTGCTAGAAGGTCTTGGGTTCCTGGGTTGTTTCTTTGTGGAGCTGACATGCTCTCCCCTTGTTTGAGTGGGTTTCCACTGGGGACTCTGGTTTCCTCCCATGGTTGAAAAGCTTGCAGGGCAGGTTGATTGGCGAGTCTAAATTGGCCCTGTGATTGTGTGAGTGTGGCTGGCTGTGTGTGTTGGTGACTGTCCAGGGTTGGATCCTGCCTGTGCACATTGTTCCTGCGATAGGCTCTGGTCTCTCCCCCCCCCCATGACCCCAGTTGGAATTAAGTGGTTATGGTGATGGATGGACTTCTTGTAGACTGACTGGTGGATAGAACATTCTGGACATTTTCATGCTTAGCACAGAAATGTCTCAACATTGATGAGTTGTTCTTACTATAGGTTAGCTGCTGAGAGCACTCCAAACATTCCACCTGGGCCAGGCCAATCCAATAAAGAATAACAGCATCAATACTGTTACACACACACACACACACACACACACATATGTATTCCAATTTACCAACCGACGAATCTTATTTGTTGATACAAGTTTGAAGTTCAGCCAAACTTCAGAATGACCTCTTTTCCTTTCTGGTTCCATAGCTCAAAAACTTACGCTGCAGTGTGTGTGTGCTGATATATGTGCTCTATAACACGTATGAAACCGGTAATGAGATTTGTGCCTCATGTTCCAAACATTTGTGCCAAAGCAGTCACATGGTTGAGTGCAGAACGGATGACCGTGGTCACGTGTTCAGGGTGGAACGGAGGAAACCTCGAAGCTGTGCTTCAGAATGTAGTGAATCGTTTTTTTTCTGCATACCTCGGAGCTTCGGTGTCAAGCTTAACATCACTAGCTGCCCCATTCCCTCTGTTAGTCTATGTGTCATTTTCTTAGCTCCTTTTCCCTGTTGAGTTCTGACTCCTTGTTGTTCCTTTATTTTGTGTCTTTCCAGTTTTGTTCAGTTTCCTTAAATCCCTTCGTCTTGCAGCTTTTAAGTGGATCGTCACCTTGTTTCCCTGCCTGCACCAGGCTGTGCCCCAACATGCACATTCAATATATGATCTGTGCAAATTCTGAAACATCTTTAATGAATCCCATTTTACACATTTTCCTTTCTGAATTTGCCTGGAACATCAATGACACGCACTTTGACACGGTTTCCATATGAATGGGTCACAACAGTCCAATATTAAACCAACTTCCCAGCAGATTCAGAGTTTCACCACACAGTGGCTCATTCTCAACTGACATGCGATCTGACATAAATCAAATAGGACGTCAGTTGAGTAGCCGGTCCTGCAATGCAGCCCAGGACACATTCGCCCTCACATTACTATAAGAATTTGACCATATGCGGCCCAGACCACCTCCAAATGTGGGTTGAGTGATTGGATCTCAATGCATCTTTAATGCATCCTGGGTAATTAGCGTTGTCCACTTGTGATTGGATCACCCAGGATGCATGTTAATACCAGGTGGAAACAGGACCAAAGGGTCTATGTCCATTGTATCCTACCTACAGTCAATAAATCATTTATGAATATCCATCTATCCATCCATCCATCCATCCATCTCCTAACCGGTAATCCAGGTCAGGGTCACAGAGAGCGCCTGGATCCTTTCCCAGGCAGCATAGGGCACAAGGCTGGAGTCCACCCTGGACAGGATGATTAATGAATATGATCTCAGCTAATGAAACAAACCTGTTTTGTCATCTTGTTTCCTATCTGTAGAAACAAATGGGTGAAACTCAGAGGGAATTTCAGCAGAGAATTCAGATGAGAGAGAAGGAGCTGCAGGAGCTGAGAGAGGCTGTGGGCTCATTCACAGTGAGTATGAACCTGAGGAGAAGATAACAGCTGGCTTGTGATCATATTGAATCTTCTTTCAGATTTACAGACTTGTGGGGATTAATCAAATTAATGCTGCTGTGGGTTATTCTGGGTCAGAGATTGAATGGGATAAAGTTGCTAGATAACAGAGTTTAACCAAGTGCTGCAGCAGTAGTAGCTTATTTATTTAAATAAAATACCATAAAAGGCCCATTTGAGAAAAATGCAACTTTTCTCAACCCAGCATAATGCAAATAAACACCAAGAAAGTCACTTATTAAACTGAGACCTAATGGTGACAACCAACCTGCCCCATACAGCCACCAGTCTCTGCCAAATCCCTGCAGCTGACAGTGTATGAGCTTAATGAGGGATCATTTCCAATCAGTGCTGGCTGGGTTTCAGTACCTGAGGCATCCAGCATGGTGACGCTCCAAACCCCAGCCCTGTGCTGTTTTTATACCTCCTGTCAGCTCACATCACTATTGTACAATGAGGCTCTCTGGAGTCTCAAAAGGGGCCAATTGTAATTTACCATCCTCTGCTCCCTGTATCACCAACAGAGCTCAGCACAGTCAGCAGTGGAGGACAGTGAGAGGATCTTCACTGAGATGATCCGCTCCATTGAGAGAAGACGCTCTGAGGTGACACAGCTGATCAGAGATCAGGAGAAGGCTGAAGTGAGTCAGGCTGAAGGAGACATGGAGAGACTGAAGCAGGAGATCGATGAACTGAAGAGGAGACACTCTGAGCTGGAGCAGCTTTCACACACAGAGGATCACATCCATGTCCTCCAGGTAACAGAACAGCTACTTTGGCAATAAGAAAACCAGAGTATTCAAATTAATGCATATTGTCATTTGTATTTCAACTAGTCTGCAATTGTCAGATGTTAAAGGTCCTGTTAATTAGATTGCAATAGGCCTACACATTTGTATTGATGAAGCTGTTTAATCAGACTGTGTGTCTGTAGAGGCACCAGGCTCTTCCTGTCACTCCTGAAGTTGGATTTGGACCCAGAATCTCTATCAGTCCAAGATCTGATTTTGGGAATTTGAGCAAGGTGGTTTCTGAACTGAAAGATCAACTGGAGAATGTTTGCAGAATGAAAATGGCAGAGATCCATCACGCAGGTTAATACATTTTCTAGTCTGTTCATGTTAATATAGACCAGGGGTGGCCAATCTTACCCAGAAAGGGCTGCTGTCTGTAGGCTTTTGCTGGATTACTAATTAGAGGACTGATTGGCTTAAGAGTCCTCACACCTGGGGTTGAACAGCTGACCTAAAGGTTCTCCCAAAGACCTGCGTACACACTGGCACTTTGCGGGTAAGACTGGCCACCCCTGATGTAGACCATGCAGAGAGAGTATGCAGTGCAGTCAGCCTCACATTTGTGTGACCAAGTCAGTTTGTTTTCAATAAGGTTAAATCTTTGTGATAAATGGTGAAAGAGCTTCATACATCTTCTACTGGCTGCAAGACCCAGATCACATGAAACATGTTTCTTCTACATTATAGAAACCAAACATCTGTATTGTGTGTAACTTACCATGATTTACAGTTTGTTAAAATGCCTGTTATTGTCCCTCATAATGATAATAATCTACTGCTGTTGTCTCCAGAGTGAGTGAAGTCCATCTCCCACAAGTACATTCCTTTTACTTACATCCCCGTTTCTCTCTGTCTCCTTCTAGTTACCAAAGACGCCGTCTTACCA